ATGCCACATCGTATCTCAACATCTGACTCAAAATCTGCATTGATAATTACACAATCTTTCTTAACAGTTGTTAACATTGTTTATTTTTCTCCCATTAACTGAGTCTGCCTTAACGATTTTGTCAAAGATTTTAAATTTAATCAACTTAAGTTAGTTAATAAATGTGTTGATATCAACGAGGAAACATAAAGCATAGCTCAAATAATCAAATCTACATTAAACTCGTCGACTACGAGTAGTCCCTCTTTCGCTTAGTCCGTCGTGCGTGACGCGAAAGAAAACCGCGAGAAAAAAATTCTCGCGGTTTTCTTTCGCGTCACGCACGACGGACTAAGCGTAAGAGGGACTACTCGTAGTCTATTAAACTTGTTAACAGCATAACTTACTTGAGTTCGCCCCTCATGTTAACATAAAAATGTGAGAAGAGCTTATGAGAGCCATTTTCTCAAACTTTGAAGCTGCTCACTGTTGACACCTAATCAAGAACAAAAACTTGAAACAAAAATGTTTTACCCTTATCTGATTTCCCTCAAATTTTATACCAGTTGCCATTTTAAAATAAAAGACCAAAAATAGCACAAATAAGATGCAAAATTGTCTATCGTAATCATTTCTACTATTGTTTATGGTGCACAACAGCAGTTTAACTGACAAGAAACTAATTTTAAATAAACAGTTCTAAAGCGCAAATTAATAATCAATGCCAAGTTACCATTTTCATGACCGTCACTAATAAAATCTGCCTTTAATTAAGTAGACAATTACAAATTTATAATTGTCTGTTCCATGATTTACATCCTTCAAAGCTGGGTTCATGAATTTAACATCACCAGATACACTTGTGCAAAGATTATAACATTTCAATTATATGACGTGTGCTGTCATCAAATAGCTGTATTTTTTTGTCATCTGACTGGATGACTGGCAGTGCAAAGGTATCTAATGCGTTCTAATTGAATAGCTAGCTAATTGTTTTGCAACAGACTTATTAAGAACATACCCCAACTGACACTTTTGTTCGTAATGCCTTTTTACGAGCACGGCAAAATTTCTTACACAGTTACATGTACATCCAAAGCAGATCCACAGGCCACCATCATATGAGAAATTTTGGAAATTCCAAAACTAAAATTCAATTCCAATTAACAATAACCGCAAATTTGGATCTCAAGATTCATAACCAAAGCAATTGCGGAAAAAAGAATTATTTAGGTTTGTTCCATATGCATACCTAACGGACCTATTTTTGGTCATGCTAAAGTTGCCAAGGGAAATTACCTGAATTCTGGCAAAAGTGATGAAAAATTGTCATGTTCAACATCATTGGTCAATTGGTTGAAAACATTTGGTCTTACAATCCTGTGGAGGTTGAAAAGAGTATTAGTTAATAATTAATATTAATATTAATCGTAATATTTGAGAAAAGAGACTTGTAAGGCTTTTTACTGAGGGAGGAATTTGCATCTGGTGTGATTGCTTAAATTATACCTGAAGAGAAAGTATAAATCT